AGAGTAGCTGAATCCTGTTGAGATCAGTGAGTGTCATGCCAGGGTTAGAGTATAGAGCATGGCGAGGATGCCTTAGAGCATCTTATGGAAAGTAGAAGGAAAAACTAAGAAAATACCAGTGCCACGATTTTGTTTTCACTGACAGAGGTTTTCCAAATTTGCCACAATGCAGCCACACTATAACAGATTGCAGAAATTGTAGCAAGAATCCAACATTTTTCAGTCAGGTCATCTGGACAGTTTCTTTTTTTGTGCTGAAACGTTTCGCCTTCTATCTGGAAGGCTTCATCAGTCAAGGAAACACACAACACAAAACTGATTCTTAGCCCAACAGCTTACTTCAAAGTGGAACAAACCAGTTATGTTGGTGCTAAGTTGGTGTCTTTGGCATGCCTCCTCCTCCATTGCCGGCCCTCTTGTTGACAGTCGTTCCAAACTGGTTGATAACAACAAAGTCCATGCTCAACAATCCAGGTATACAATCCAACATTTTTCAGTCAGGAATTGTGTTGTGTGTTTCCTTGACTGATGGAGCCTTCCGGATCGAAGGTGAAACGTTTCAGCACAAAAAAAGAAACTGATGACCTGACTGAAAAATGTTGGATTGTATACCTGGATTATTGAGCATGGACTTTGTTGTAGCAAGAATCATTATCCAGTGTGAAAGTTGGCCTGACCACAACAAATACCCTTCATGTACAATGAGATATAAAAAACAACATTATTTTTTTTTTAACCTTCAGAAAGTTTGTGTGTCTGTATTTGGATCCTCCATTCATGACTGTGGTTGATTTGCTGTTCTGTTTGGTAAGTGTAAGGCCCCTAAAGTTGCTTCTTGCATGGCATGTTAACAGTGTTTCCTGTTTGATCACATTGTGGCTGTAACAGTTAATGTCAGCGTTTGAAGCAAATATGTGGCATAATGAACAACACTCTGAGTTTGTGTTGAGGATGACTCTCAGCTGCTACCACACCAAATTGTAGCGAGCTGTGAAAATTATTGAGATATAGTCATTTCTGTATTGGCTAATGATGTTGGTCAGCTGTGGTTGCCTTAAATAGGGTGAGTTCAAACATTGCTCAATTCTATTTGTACATCCAATCACTTTCATCAAAATTTATTCAGTGTCTCATAAGATATTTAGTTGACTGATAAATAGAAAGCTCCATCTTATATTACAGATTTTACTGTTCCATAATTTTCTAACAGAGCACTTCACTCTCAGACTGCAGGTTTACTTGTGGTTCCTAGAGTTTCCAAAAGCAGAATGAGAGGATGATATTTCAGTTTTCAGGCTCCTCTCTTGTGGAACCAACTTCCAGTTTCTGTCCGTGAGGCTGACACATCATCCAGTTTTAAGACTCGGCTTAGTTTCCCGAGTTGTCCTTTAGTTACAGTATATTGCTATAAGCTTAGGCTGCTGGAGGACAATCAGACCACATTTCTTCACTCTGCTGCTGTCTTTACTTCCTCCACTCTGTCTGTTTTGTATTTGTAATTATTTCTATCCTTAACATGTATTTTGTCTTTCTGTAAAGATTCATGTTTCAGGCCCATGTTTATGTATTTTATGCTTGTCCTAAACTCCTCCACTCATCACCTTCACTCAGTTCACCTGTGTCACTCCCAGTCTCCGTCCAGCTGCACCTGTGCACTGTGCTAGCACTTCCCAGTCTCTGCCAAATTATCTTATCGTCTCGTGCCTGAAGTAATCCATCATTCTTGTTCCTGCTCTTGTTATTGATCCACTTCATGACCATGAATTCCTCTCTTTGCTGCCCTGCCCATAACAGATAACTTCTGCCCATTGGATACCTCGACTCTCGCTCTGCTTTCTGACCACAGATTCCCACTAAACCCCATGATAAGTTTTGCCTTTTCTGCCTCTCTGTTTGACCCACATTGTATTTTGACCACAATCGCAGACCCAGAACTCAAGGAGTTTTTAGTTCCCAGAACTAAGCTCCACAACCTGTAGAGGAGTGTTTGTTGGACCTTCCAGGTTACACTCACGTATCAAGTGATCTGGCTGTACCTCCAAACCTCCCTCACTTGAATGTCATCACAGCTTTTGCATCTCCGCCTGTGATCAAACTCTGCAGAGTTTCAGTTAAGCGTCTCCCTCAGGAGTTCTTCTTCTTCTTTCAGCTTTTCCCTCTTCAGGGGTCGCCACAGCGAGTCATCCTCCTCCATCTCACTCTGTCCTCTGCATCCTCTGTCCTCACTCCAACTACCTTCATGTCCTCTCTAACTGCATCCAAATATCTCCTTTTTGGCCTTCCTCTTCGTCTTTTTCCTGGCAGCTGAATTTCTAACATCCTTTTGCCAATATACCCACTGTCCCTCCTCTTGACATGTCCAAACCATCTTAGGCTGGCCTCCCTAACTTTATCTCCCCGTTCTTCAACCTGTGCTGTACCTCTGATGATCTCATTCCTAATCTTATCCATCCTTGTCACTCCTAAGGAGAACCTCAACATCTTCATTTCTGACACTTTCAGTTCTTTCTCCTGTCTTTTTGTCCATGTCTCTGTCTCCAGACCATAGAACATAGCTGGTCTCACCACTGTCTTGTAAACTTTTCCTTTGACCTTTGCTGACACCCTTTTATCACAAATCACTCCTGAAACTTTTCACCATCCACTCCATATTGCCTGGACTCTCTTTTTCACCTCTTTACCACACTGCCCATTTTCCTGGACAGTGGACGCCAAGTACTTGAAGTCCTGCACCTTTGTGACCTCTGTTCCTTGTAGCCTCACTGTTCCACCAGCCTCCCTCTAATTCACACACATGTACTCTGTCTTACTATGGCTGACTTTCATTCCTCTTCTTTCAAGTGCATACCTCCACCTCTTGAAGTTCTCTTCCACCTATTCCCTGTTCTCACCACAGATCACAATGTCATCTGCAAACATTGTCCACGGGGGTTCCTGCCTGACCACATCTGTTAGTCGGTCCATCACCAGAGCAAACAAGAAGGGGCTCAGAGCCAAAACTTGATGCACTCCCACCTCCACCTTGAAGCTGTTACTCCTACAGCACATCTCACCACTGTCCTGCTGTCCTCATACATGTCCTATACCAGTCTAACATACTTTTCTGCCACTCCAGATTTCCTCATGCAATATCACACCTCCTCTCTTGGCACTCTGTCATATGTTTTTTCTAAATCCACAAAGACACAATGGAGTTCTTTCTGACCCTCTCTGTACTTCTCCATCAGCATCCTCAAAGCAAAGATGGCATCTGTGGTGCGCTTTCTTGGCATGAAACCATATTGCTGCTCAAGGTCACCTCTTTTCTAAGTCTTGCTTCCACAACTCTCTCCCAGATCTTCATTGTGTGGCTCATCAACTTAATTCCCCTGTAGTTGCTACAACTCTGTACATCACCCTTGTTCTTAAAAATGGGCACCAGCACACTTCTTCTCCATTCCTCAGACATTTTCTCACCCTCATACAGGCAATTTTCTCCGTCAGCAGTTCACCTCCTGATAAATCTGTTTTATTACTCCTGTGTGTGGTTGAATTTCTGGGTCCCTCTCTTAACTCATTACATGTTCTTTCAATAGACAGTACATCTGGTCCTGTCATTCTCTGTTTTTCCATTCCTCCTTCCTGTCCTCTCAAACTCAGCTGGTCGAAGCAGATGGCCACTCATCATGAGCCTGGTTCAGTTGGAGGTTTCTTCCTGTTAAGATGGAGTTTTTCTTTTCCACTGTTGCCTTTGTGCTTGCTCAGGATGGGAGACTGCTAAAGTGAAGATTCAACACAATCTGCTGCTTCCTTGGATAACGTTTACCAATGGTCTTTTATAATGTATGTGAATGTTTGTGTTCAGCACTCAGAGACAACTTCTGTTGTGACTTGCTATATATTGAATGGAAATAAAGCTAAAGTGTACCTTTATTCACCTTTTAAAATCTGAAGTATGTGTTCACTCAACAATAGTAACTTCTGACCATTCAAGGATTCAAGGTCCTTTATTTGTCATTCCACCACGTGGGACACATGTGGTGGAATGAAATTATGTACACAGGGTCCCAGTTACATCCAACAAAAATATTAAAATGTAAAAGAAAAACAGTAATAAGATCAAAGATTTGAACTAAGAAAAAATGATAACTACAAATACACTAAGCACTAATAGCATAAAATCATTATGTCGAACAGCAGCACGAACATGAGTCTGTGTGAGCAGAGGAGCACGCATAAACATAGCAACATGAAACAGATCAGCAGCAACATGAAACAGATCAGCAGCAACATGAAACAGATCAGCAGCAACATTGAAACAGATCAGCAGCAACATGATGTAATTTTTCACAGTGATTATTCTGGTTAGTGATTCATGAGTATAACAGCTTCAGGGTAGAAGTTGTTCCTCAGTCTAGTGGTTCTACACTTAATGCTCCTTAAACTCCTTCTGTCTGAACATTAATTTAATGACCAGAAAACAACAACAATAAAACTTGTACCGGTATTTTGAGAATGATCAGGTAAAGGGTTAAAATGAGAAAAACTTCAAAAAGTCCGAAAATCTATTGATGAAGATCCACTTCAACCAAAATGGTCATGAGAAAGACGGGCTCTTTTAAAGAGTTATTACATTTTATGTTTGGACACCCGCACATGTTGAAAATAGTCACCTGTCATTACTTGCTTGTAATAATAATCATTTGCCAAAGGCAAAGTGTAAAGGACCAAAATGCAACACATATTTTGCTTCTTTATTTTGCCTTTGTTTGATTGTTAAAACACCATTATTCTGAGTTACTAAGAAATTATTTTACTTTTATTACCTTAATGTATTGTCCAATGATGCTGCATGTGAATGAACAACAAATTAGGTTTAGAAATGAATGAAAGTGTGCAAAGACAGAGACAAGATAGTAAAAGCTCAAAAGACAATTTGTTTTGAATACGTTTTACAAAATCTTGGACTCTGCCTACTGCTCTCAGGTCAAACTAAACTGACTCGCCTTCCTTCCATTCAGGGGTAAGAAGACCCAGAGAGAGGGATGGCAGTGGAGGAGAAGCCCAACGTGAAGAGCAGCAGCTCCATCGTTCCCTGCTTCCTGTTTGTGGAGGTGAGCTGCATGCCATGAAATATATTTCAAATTCCTGATTTTATCAAATCCCAGCTAAAGCATGGAACATCTCTTCCAGCTTACAGCACAGATTCTGTAAAAGTCAGGATCTTGTTTCTCAGTGTTTTCATGTTGACTCCTAGTTTTATTTTCCTACATCTGCCTTCTCTACACTAAGGATAAACTCTGTCTCTGAGATTTGACGGTCTGCCTGACCCTCTAGGCTGTTTCTTCTCTTTGCACTTCTCTTTTCTCACCTCTAATCTCCGCGGTTCATGAGCAGAGCTCGGGACACGCTTTTTGCTGCTGTGATTTTCACTCGTGTGTCACACATCCCACAGTGTTCCAGCACCAACGGCAGCTCAGGATCTGTAAGACAGCTTCAGTTTTTATCTGTCATGTTGAGTATGTTGAGATGATCTGTAAGCAGGATGATTCATTAACGTAACTGTAGTTGACCCAACATACTGTAGACCATGTTTGATTTTTATGTTTTTAATTTTCAGCTGCTGCACGTTGGTGTCTGGAGTCTTATTATAACCTCAAAGGTCAATGTGAGCAATAGACTAAAAATGCTTCGACACAAGTAGCTGCAGCCCTCCTGGCAATTGTGCCCTTATCTGTTTATGCAAGCAGTCAGATGATTCAGAGGAAGTCCCTGAGCAGTCTGTGAGTTGTAACTGAGGTGGAGAGAGGCACGAGCTGGTGATCTAATCACATGGTTTGTTACGCAGTCAGGCAGACATTCTCTAATCATTCACTGAAAACAACCTTCAGACTGCTCCAGATGATACATCATGTAAAGAGTTACTCGGTTCTTTTGAAGAAATAATGTGAAAAGTTAATATTTCCCCTGTTTTCGATAGTTCTTTAAGGAACTAGTTTTATTTGTCTGTATTACTGAGTTCATATGTCATCCACGGGGAGTGGTGGAGGTTAGAGAACGTTGGCCTGTGATCGCAAGTTGACAGGTTGACAGTTGACACCATAGTCTGTGACCACAGTATATTGTGACTGTAGGTGACGCTGTTGCATTTTTACACCATACTTTGCAATATCTGATAAGCGCTATCATATTCTGTGACCGTCTATATTTCCATAATAGTCATGATATTAGTGGTCATATGTTACTTTTTATTCCTTAGAGGAAGTAGAGAGTCAGCAGAAACAGTTTGGCTCAAGTATTTAATGTTTTTCTATAAGTTACATTGTGGTCACACTATCTGATAAGCGCTATCATATTCTGTGACTGTCTATATTTCCATAATAGTCATGATATTAGTGGTCAGATTTTACTTTTTATTCTTTGGAGGAAGGAGACAGTTAGCCTCCTTCCTCTAAAGAATAAACATTAACATCTGCTCACTAAAATCATGAGGATTATGGAAATATAGACGGTCACAGAATATGATAGTGTTTATCAGATATTGCAAAGTATGATGTAAAAATGCAACAGCGCTCCCTACGGTCACAATATACGGTGGTCACAGAATATGGTGTAACACCGGTTTGATTCCAGGCACCGACAACAACAAAATTTGGGTGGGAAAGGTGAAACACTTGTCTCCACCTTCATTTTCCCCAGTCTGGGCCCTTGAGCAAGACACTTAACCCCCACCATCTGCTCCCTGGGCACCCTCGATAGCAGCTCTCTGCTCCACACTGTGGTAGCTCGGTGGTCTGTGGTTGTGTCAGGAAGGACATCCGGCGTTAAAACAATTGCCAAGTCTTCATTTGAGTTAGTTTGCTGTGGCGATTCCTGAAGAAGGGAGCACCCGAAAGAAGGAAAACAACAACAAAAAAAGAGTTTATACGTCATCTGAATGGGATGGAGACCAATCTTAGTTATTTCACTGTATTTATCAAAGTGATGTTTTATGAACTTTAAATCATCATTAAGTTTGCATTACGTGCATTTTCAACAAAAATAGGATCATGCTCCTCCTGGAAGTGCCCCAAGCTGCATCTGAAGGGCTACAGCTAGCTGCTGCTGCTATGTCAGTGCAAAGTTTTCATGAGCCAGTGTGTTCTCTCTTTTTTTTAATTTTTTTATTGAACTTGTTTTAAGATGGCAGCAGTCCACTTTGATCTGGAGTTTATCATGTTTTAGAAAGAGTTGGGACCCATGTGCTGCCAGAAACCCCAGAATGCTCAAATTTAAAATAACATGATCTTCATTAACAAAAAGCTGACAAGGCATCAAAAGCACTCACTAGTAGAACTCAGAAATATATGAAACAAACAAACAAACAAACATGAATGACTTTGAAAGCAAAATGCACAGTTAATAAATGAGGAAAAACAACACAAGTATTAAATGGAAACAATTGTGGGATAATATCCTGATGCATGCTCAATAATCCAGATAGATTATTGATTACTGATGGTCCTCCTTTATCATGTGAACAGCTAGTTCTGGATGTCAACAACAAACTGGTTGATCCACTATGAGAAGGTGTTGTTAATACAACTGCATTTGTTGCAGCTTCTCAGACTGAAGAAGTCTTATGGATGAAAAAACAAAACGTTTCAACAAAGAAGAGTCCGTCCAAAAGACCTGATTTAACCATGTTAGATAAATGAGGGAGAAACGACAACGCCTGGGGAGACAAAATGAGGATCAGGTGAGAGTGGGGGAGGCAGGAGCTGAACTATGAGGGGGGAAACACCGGGGAGGCTGAAACACAAGTGAAACAAAATACCAGAATCACAGAGACAATAAATAATTAACACTCAAGAAGACACAGATCATGACAGACTTGACTAGTCATGAATTAGCTCTTCAGTTATGTTAGACATGAGCTCTGGATTCTCCAGCTGAGCTTTTCAAAGAACTATCTACAAAAAATATGGATGTCATGTCTGTGCTATGCTGTTTTCATGACCCTTTTCACAATCGAGTCATTGCACAGACACAACGCCAACACGGTCAGTCAAATTCTCAACAGCCAATCCATGCAGTGTGTTTGGGCCTCGCACCATAGACACCATCCCAATGATACACCATCATGACCATGAAGTTTGATGATCAGAATCATTGCAGACTTATCACTTCTTACATCCACTGTGACCAGGGTCTCATAGAGCAGCCACAGTGTAATATTTAACACGTTTAGTGCATTTCTGATCACTGCCATCATCATAAACCATGAAAAATACATTAGCAGGCATAATTGATACACCACATGAATCAGTCTCTAATCGTTATAATCATTACACAGAGTAAAGCAATGTGAGCTTGACCCAACACTAAGAGACACAATCCATTAAAATACAATGAGAAAAGGGTGGCATGGTGGTGCAGTTTGTAGAGCTGCCGCCTCTCAGTGAGAAGGTTGCCAGTTCAAATCCTAACCCCTCTGAGTAGACCATGCATGTTCTCTCCATGCATGCGTACTCTAGTTTCCTCCCACAGACCAAAAACATGCATGTTAGACTGATCGGTAACTCTAAATTGTCCCTAGGTGTGTGAGAGAGAGAGAGAGAGAGAGAGAGAGAGAGAGAGAGAGAGAGAGAGAGAGAGAGAGATAGAGAGAGAGAGAGAGAGAGAGAGAGAGAGTGAATGGTTGTTTGTCTCGTTTGTCTCTATGATGGACTGGAGACCTGTCCAGGGTGTTCCCCACCACTCGCACAGTGACTGCTGGATATGGGCACCAGTGACCCTTGTGACCTGAAAAGGAAGAAATTATTAAAAGATAATGGATGACAATGAAGCAAAGGAAGGCATCTGTGTCAGTATTTGAGACATTCTATTATACCTAATGAAAATGGCTGCTCACTAACAAGTCCTGTTTTAAAATTGTGATACGTTTTCACAAAAAAGACTAAGGCTCCCACAGACTCGCGCGGACATCAGTCTGCGGAGGTTCACGCATACCGGATTAGAGTTGAAGCGGACGCCCGCAGGGCATGTCCGTGCAAAGCTCAATTTTTACGACCGCGTACGAGTACTCGGTGTCGCACAATAAACTGCCCAGTGACGGACTGTTTTGTTGCAACACCAATGTATTAAATTCCCCTTCTTCATCCCTGATCTGATTTAATGGCCTTTTCTTTTTTTTCTCCAAGAGGCAAGCAAGCCCTTTCTCCTCCTCCGTTGATGCCAGGACTGAAATGGTGAGAAATGAAGGAATTTGTCACGAGTGAATTAAAATCAAGTCCAACGTGGCTGTGGGAGGGTCTGGAGATTTCCTGTTGGGCTGGTCTGATGTGTGGGCTGCAGGGCCAGCCCTTTTTTTTTTTTTAAGAACTTTTTATTAACAACATATAAACACAGAACACCACTGCGGCTGGACTGCCAGCTCTCGTTTTTTTTTTTGTTTGTTTGTTTGTTTCTGCGACCTATCAATCAAACCAGTAGGCGTGTCAGTAAATGACCAGTCGGTGAACTCAATTTGTCCCGAAGGTAAACGCCCTTTGCCTGCGGAGCTGGTTGCAGCCGCTCAGGGTGGATGCTCGAGTATGAAGTCTCAACCCTCTGCGGACAGAGCACATAGTTTCCGCACAGACTAAGGTCCCCGAGTTTGTGGGACCCTTATTAAGAATCCATCCATCCAGTATGTTTACCCGCTTCTTCCTTTTTGGGTCATGGGAGGGTCATTAGTGCCCAGATCCAGCCATCACTGTGCAAAAGGCGGGGGACCCTGGACAGGTCTCCAGTCCATCACAGGGACACATAACGAGACAAACGAGATAAATGAGACAAACAACCTGTCAGTCTCTCATTCACACCTAGAGAAAATTCAGAGTTACCAATCAGTCTAACATGCATGTTTTTGGTCTGTGGGAAGAAACAAGAGTACCCAGAGAAAATTCACGCATGCACCAAGAGAACATGCAAACTGCACCCAGAAAGGCACCCCGGTCGGGATTTTAAATGAGACAACCTGCTCGCTGAGAGGCGAGAGCTCTACCAACTGCACCACCATGCTGCCCTAATAACACCACTGCTCTGCTAATGCTTATTTTACTACTTCCATCCATCCATCCATCCATCCATC